GGCAGTGGTGATTTGGGTGGTGTTGGTGAGATTGTGTGGCGATGGTGGTGCGGTGGATCTAGGTAGGACAACGGTGGTATTTACTTGATGTGGTGTGTCGTTGGTTGACAATGGTGATGGCAATCGACGGTGGTGCAGGTGGAGGATCTGGTGATTTTGATTTTCTGTGACTAAAAATATAATATGTGACCTTAAAATTCAATAATCTGTGACCAACTATTTTGTTATCTGTGACCTAAAAATTATATACCGTGAAAAAATATGTGACTGTGTGACCTATAAATTTTGATATTTGACCAACGAATTAATTGTGATCTATAACTTTTTTTATATGTGACCATTAAAAACTATGTGATCAACTAATTTGGAAATCTGTGACCTGCAAAAAAAAATTGTGATCGAAAATTAATTTTTAACTAATTAATATTAATTAATTAATAAATATCTGATTTTTGCAAGTTTGAAACGTAACACCTGATTTTTGCAATTGTCAAAGTTAATATATGATTTGTGAACTCTTCCATACATGGTTACATTTTTATATGGAAAAATTAGACTGAGCCCTACAGGCATCTGAAAATTCAGGCCATATAATTTTTTGGAAAAAAATCTCCCTGCATTTTTGTATTATTTTAATATAAAATTTAAGGATTAATGAGTAAGAATGAATTTTTAACATTTAAGCGAAGGGCCATCATTCGATATTCTGATTTTGTGAATATTTAGATTCTGTACTCGATCACCATCATATTTCTACATTACGTGGGTACCGTTTAGTTTGATTCGGATGACAATTTTTCCTTAATGAAGATGTAGTGAGCAGTAGTGGATGTAGGGAGACTGGTCAGGGTTTTATTTATTACTAGTGACACGCACATGCAATGCACGTGCTATCAGTGTAGTTGGCTACTTAATAACGTGGTTATGAAAGATTAATGAAACCAACATCAATGAAGCACCGGAAGATAGATTTCATCTACATGTGAAACAACATTATATTTAAAACGTTATTTTATTCATCAAAAGATATCATGTTTATGATGTGAATATTGCGTGCAAATAGAGAAAACTATGGAACACGTGACGTGCACGTGCCATAATATAGTTGGCTATATGATACAGTAAATTTTAAAAAAAAATTATATGTCTTAAGTATTAATTATATTAAATTTAAAACACTTGAAATGATGATAGGT